CAGAGTTGGATGAACAGGCAGCGGGAAAGCCATCGGCGAACACCGCCGTCCGGTACATTTCCTTCCACAAGGAGGGCAGTGTGGGAATCCGACTGACGGGCGGCAATGAGGTGGGCATCTTTGTGACGGCTGTCCAGCCGGGCAGTCCGGCCTCACTGCAGGGACTGCAGGTGGGCGACAAGATACTCAAGGCGAACGGCACTGACATGGGCACCTTCACTCGCGAGGAGGCAGTGCTCTACCTGTTGCGCATTCAAGACAAGATCGAACTGATTGTGCAGAACTGCAAGGCCGAGTACGAGAGCATCGTGGCCGGGCAAAAGGGTGACTCGTTCTACATACGAGTGCACTTCAACTACGACAGCGACGGCGGCAAGGGAGAGCTCAGTTTTCACGTGGGCGACATCTTCCACGTGGTGGACACACTGCACAATGGCGTCGTCGGCTCGTGGCTCGTCTACCGACTGGGCCGCAACAACCAGGAGATTCAGAAAGGCTCCATTCCCAACAAGAGCAGGGCAGACGAACTGGCCACCGAGCAGAGGGCAGAGGGCCGCTCGAAGAAGTCACTCTCAGGAGGTGATCTGGGCAGTGGCGAGGGCGGCGCCAGCAGTCGCCGGGGCAACTTCTTCAAGCGACGACGCAGTGCACGCCGCTCAAAGTCGCTCAGCAAGGACCACTGGGAAGACGTCATCTTCGGCGACGGCTCCTCCAAGTTTGGCGCATACGAGCGCGTGACGCTGAAGAACACCGGTTTCACGCGACCGGTAGTTTTCTTTGGACCGCTGGCGGACATTGCCCGGGAGAAGTTTCTGCGCGACAATCCGGAGAAGTACGCCTGTCCGAGGGCGCTCAGCGTCAACGACGACGAGGAGACGGCGTCAAAGCGAGGCAGCTCCTCCTCTTCGAAGGTGGCCACCTCGGGCATCGTCCGCCTGTCGTCCATCAAAGAGGTGATCGGCGGCGGGAAGCACGCACTGCTCGACATTACTCCGTCAGCGGTGGACCGACTGAACTACGCACAGTTTTACCCGATCGTGATCTTTATGCGTGCGGAGAACAAGTCGATCGTGAAAGAGCTGCGCTCTCGCTCCTCGTCTAAGAGCACCGTTCACCGCAGCTCGCGGAAGCTCTTTGAGCAGTCGCTGAAGCTGGAGAAACTGTGGCACCACATCTTCACCGCCTCCATCAACCTAACCAGCGGCGGCGATACGTGGTACAAGAAACTGCACGAGACCATTGAGAAGGAGCAGTCGAACACGATTTGGATGGCAGAGTCGAAGCCGGAGGAGAGCATCTCCGATGACTTTCTCTNAAACTGCACGAGACCATTGAGAAGGAGCAGTCGAACACGATTTGGATGGCAGAGTCGAAGCCGGAGGAGAGCATCTCCGATGACTTTCTCTTTCCGATGATCTCGCGCCTCAGCTACGCTTCCTCGCCGGAAAGTGATCTCGACGTCTCCACCAATGACTGCTCACGACTGGACGAGGACGATGATGACGACCGGCCTGGCGGAAAGGACTTCCTTGGACGGGCCTCATCGCCCGGCTCCTCTGGTCGCCTGGTGAGGGCCTCCAGTGACCCGAGCCTGGCTCGACCACTCGAACAGTCCAACAACGCCACTGGTGCAGGGGCGGTAGAGACTACTGACTCAACTGCCAGTACCACCACGCCAAAGAATGGTAGTGCCAAAAAGGAGAGTACAAGCAAAGGGGTGAATGAGTCGCCCAACCAGCGATCGCCCAGCAAACAGCTGCCCCTGCACATTCTCCTGCGAAAGGTTTGTTGATATAAGCTCTGTTTTTCCTTTTGCTTCATGTAATCCTTTGCCCCC